TAATTTAATTTAATAATATTTGTTTCTAAGAGATTATTTAAAAAAAAAATCTTTTTTGAAAAAAGCACACATTTCTTTTTTGAGAAAAAATAAACTATAAAAAAAGGTAAGGATTTGAGGAAAAATAAATTTTCGAGAAAAAATATTAAAAATAGTTAAACGAAAAAAATAAAATATCAAAAAAAAAGGGATTTCTGGGAAACATTTTTTTAGAAAAAGCTATAAAATTATCTAATTTTTATATACTTAATAAAAACTTGGATTAAAAATATTTTCTCTTAAGGAAAAGAAACGAGTTGCAACTTTGCAGGAAACAATCTTTTTTTTTTACATTGGAACTGTGTTTTGTTTACTCATCACATTTGGTTTATTTTGCTATCGATGAATCACAATCTACAATTCAAATCAAAGTTTTTTAAGTATGAATTTATGGTTCTAGAAGGCTTAATAGTGTGCAGAAGACTAGTCCTGGAACCACACAATTCTAGACGCCACGCACACAAAGGCAGTTCACATATGTATGATTCAAAAGCTGACAAAGGTATAAATGCAGGAATATAATACATATAGTCCCAAGGCCAAGATTTCCAGATAGTCTGGAAATAAGCGCAGATTAGACTGGGTCGAAAAAAGTTCTAAAAGTCGATACATTTATTTAAAGCTTATGTTAACAGGATTTCGACACCGAAAAAACTTCTTGTTTATGAATTTAGCAAATCCTCCGGATATGTATATTGTTAAAAAAACCCATATGAAATAACCATGTTATAATAAAAAGGTGCTTCGACGACAGCTACTTCTGCAGTGTGACGCGGTCGCCAGAAGAAGATAAACACACCAAACCAGGATCTAACCAAGTGATTGCGCAGCAAAAGTTTTTGTTTACTAAATAACTGTTTACTAAATAAAAGAATTTTAAATTTTAACAATTAGATAAATACATATATTCCATAATAGCTAATCAAAAATGAAAGCAACAATTGGTATTGAAATTCAATGGCGCGTGCGTGTAACGCGTATAGAGCACAAAAGGAAATTGGTCAAGCCCCTTAATGAAATACAAATAATACGAGCATCGATAGGTAGCAATCATTCTTAGCTTTTTGATCTATTTATTTATGTACATACATACTTACATACAAATTTGTACACGTACTCATCTATAAAACTAAAACTCTTTATTACATACATACATACACCCACTAGAAAAAGATACCTTACACTTACCTTTTAATTTCATATTTTACATACAAAAATTTTCGTTAATTTTTCATGAAAATATAGTTTATTCTACAACGTAAACCATTTAAATTGAGTTTGAATCTCTTTCTAAAATTTAGAAAAATTCAGCGAATTTTGATTTATTGAGGTAGAGTATTTGGTTTAAAATTTTATTAGGCCCTTAGTGAGTAATCTACCGAGTTTTGTACAATGCTGAATTTTAAAAGCAAATTAGTTAGGACCTTTCTATAATAGGACAACCTATGTACTTTATATGGAAAAAACCAAGTGACACCGTCACAAAAAAAAATTATCAAAAATCAACGGGATATTTTGGCAACTTCAAACCAGTACATTATTGTATTAAAATTTAGTGGTATGTAAAGTAAAGTTTGAAGCTTCTATTTAAATTGTTAATATTATAAAATAAATTATATTTTTATAAAAAAATTGCGAAACTAAATTGAAAAACAATATCACCCGAATTCATAAAAAATGAACACTTTAACTGCTTTATAAATCGAAAATTGGTATGAAAATATCACTTTATAAATCTATTTTAAATTTGATGAATAAGGCCATATGAATATTGTAAACAGAAATCTCTGTACGGAAACTTTTTCTAGTGGGTATTATGTATGTATGTATATTTACAATAGCAACAAAAAGCATGCGATTGAATTGACTACTTAATTAGTAGTAATATGAGAAATAACTAAAACTAAAAACAAATTAGGTATAAGTGGTCAAAAATACCGCAATTTGTGAGTGACTTTATTGGCCGAGGTCATTACAATATTTAGGTGGGGCTAAAAATATCTACATTTTTATTTCTTTACTTTAATTTACTATACATAGATAATTTCATTTTATTTTATTTCGTTTTATTTTGTTTTATTCTTCTTCTTCTCCTTGTTTTGCACTGTGACTCCTAAGCGATTTCGGCCGAGTCCAACAAAGCACCCCAGTCATTTGTCTTCTGTACCAACTGATGCCAATTGGAAATGCCAAGTGAAGCCAAGTTTTTATCCACTTGATCTGCATAGGAGTAGATGCATGAACCTTATCAGCTCCTCGCCGCCGTACTTGAATAGTTTAGCTGGCACCTCGCACCTTTTTTCATCCGCGTAATTGCTATTCATACCTCGTCACAGTCAGGCAGTGGAACATCGACATCGTCATCTTCGACTGGGGGCTCGGGTTCGTCTTCTCCACAATTTTTCGTGCAGCTACTATTCAGAAAGGCGGAAAAGTGTTGCCTCCATAATTTAAGTACGTTATGGACAACGGTTACTAGGTCGCCATTGTTGTTCTACACGTCTTCGCCCCGGTCTTGAAGCCTTCCGTAATTCACCTAACTATCTGGCAAAATTTTCGTGCATTCTCCCTGTCGGTAAGCATTTCAAGCTCTTCGCACTCACATATTTCTGCCCCTCTATTCCCTCATAGCTCGCGTTGCGCCCGATCGCAGCGTGGCCCGGTAGGCGGCATCTTTTTTCTCTGCAGCTTCTTTACACTCTTCATCGTACCAGTTGTTCTTTCGGGCTAGCTGAAATCCAATTACTTCTTCGGCGGCGGTACTTAATGAGCGGAAAATGGAACCGCATGTGCTCTCTGAGAGCAGGTGGAGTGTGAGTAGCGAATGCATTGATCGTCTGTTGTGATTTCAGGTTTTCGACATTAAGGTTTCCTTGCATTTTTGGGCGCAAATTTTTTGCTACTCAGAGGCGGGTGCGTATCTTAGACTCCAAGCTCGTACGCCTAAAATACTGGAAGCGTGCCTTCCGTCTATCAAAACATGATCGATTTGATTTCTCGTTTTTCAATCTGGAGAGAGCCACGTAGCCTGAACCTAGTACTACCACCTAGTACCATGTTTTGGGCTCCGCGAAGTCGATCAGCCTCAGTCCGTTGTCGGACGTTTCGTCATTGAGGCAGAATTTTCCGACGGCGGTTCCAAACATCCATTCCTTGCCCACCCTGGCTTTGAAGTCGCCAGGTACGATTTTTATATGGCGGGGCAGTGCTCGTATGTGCACTCCAAACGCTTGTATAAGAGATTCTTGGACGCCTCGTCCACCTCTTCCGACTGGGCTTGGGCGCAGATTATCGATATGTTGAAGAATCTCGTTTTGATGCGGATTGTGGCTAGACGCTCGTCCACCGGGGTTAACGATGGAGTCTCTCCCCCACCACAAATCCAACACCGAATTGGCGCTGCTTTACATGGCAGTTGTAGTAGGCGCCGCAAGGTCCCATACATTTTTTGCCTTGCTCCGTGCAGCGCATTTATTGGATGGCGGTGATGTCTGCTTTTGTCCTTACGAGGAAATCAATCAGCCAGGCAGAGGCACCTTGCTCATTAGGGGCCCGGACAGTCCAGGTGCATGCCTTCAAATCGTAGTCGTTTAAACTTTTGCCGTGGTCGTCATCAAAAAAGGGATTCTCATCCGAGGCTTTGTCTCTCTTTTTAATTGGAGCCTGTTTTTACGTGGCGGGTATCAAACCCTGCGCACAACCCATCGCTGGGACGGGGGTGGTTTCGCAACCAAATACACGTTTATATAGCTACTCCAAGCAGATACCCGCTTCAGTGAGCCCTTAAACGTAATAACTCGGTGTGGCCCCACCGAAGCTCCCTCCATTTCTGCCGTGACCCAAGGTTTCAACAATAGCAGCAATCGAATGCGTAACAGCGAGCGTGGCATTCACTTAAAGGAGATTTTAGGCATTAAAACGAATTTATCGTAGCAAGATGGGCCAACATATTAGAGCCACCGAAAGAAAATGCGGCAAAATTATGTACCTCTATACCTAAGAAATATGGTGAGAAGCTTTTTATGAAATTAAGAACTGACGTATGATAACTCTGAGCGTACTAGGAACATTAAACTTTATTCTGAGGCCATGGAAGAGTCCATCGAATACCAAAGAAGCTCCCAAAACACTTAACCATGTTTTGATCTGAACTCAAAAGTGGCAAGAAGAACAAAGCCTTGAGCTGCCGACAGAAAAAACAGAACTCGTTCTCCTCACAAACACGCACATTTCACTGGATATGGATTTGCAGACGCGTGCCGGAATTTTTAAACCAAAAAAGCAGCCATAGATACGATACTAGACTTAAATTTTCGGGGAAGACACAGCGTGCGACGGAAAAAGTAACGAAAATACTGTCTTCGATGTGCTGAGTCATGACCAATACTGTTGGCAGGCGCAGTACAAAGGACAGCTTCTTATGTTTACGACAACATCTGTGTTACTTTACGGCGACCAACTCTCAAACAGAATGCCGCAGAAAAATTTTGTCTCGTGCGCAGCCTACGTTAGCTTTGCGGATCGCTTCCGCATGGCATAATGTTTCCAGACCAGCTGTACGCATATTGGGGCGAGGAAGAAAAATGCAATGAAATATTAGACAGAGGCAGGGCCAAGCAGCCAGGCATGGAAGGAAATAAAATTGCGTAATGGCAGGAACGCTGGGATAGCTAGCCGCGGAACAGTTGGAAAGCGACGCAGATTTGGGGACATTAAATACTACATCACACAGTTGCGTAATATTTAATTAAGGGTACTTAAGGAAATACCTTCACAAAATGGCCAAGCAGAGGACTATAGATACACATTTGGAGATTCTAACCCAGACGTTGCAAACACGTAGGCGACGAAGGGCGTTTTTTACCCTTCGGACATACCACTTTTGGTAGCTTGAATGATACATTGGGCCTTTTAAGCCCCGCTGCATGGAAAAATACAATAAAAGCTTAATTTGGTTTTAGTTGGTTTTAACTCAACCATTTATTTTCTCGCTTCAAATTTTCAACCAAATGAATTCTACCTGAATTTTAGCGCTGACTTACGCCGCCTTGGCTGAATAAGGCACGCATACCTAAATATGAAAATTGGCGTCTGATGTACCCACATTAACGTAGATCTATACATGCATGCAAGTACATATAAATATATACGATATGCATACATATATACGTACTTACTTACATATATACAAATACGATAATAATTAAGCCAAAAATAAAGCTCCTGGGTAGTATGTTGCGCTGTAAGGTGGGTGGGTGTTTGCGCATTTGATCGCAGCTTCTCTGCGACCCCAGCGATGATCTGTACGAGCAGCCGCTGTGGCAGGCACAATCTACCGATAAATGAGAGCCCGCGCCATCAAACATTTGCACAAACTGTAAGTACATATCTACATACTTACACTCGCAACGCGTCAACAAATAGCGCTTTCCGTTTGTCACGCTTTTCATGCGACTTGCGGCAATTCGGTAGCTGCACACTAACAAATAAGAGTAGCAGCCCCAATTGTTGTCATCACTGTCAATTGTCATGGATTATGCCGCGTCGCGATGTTTTCGTTCTGTATTCGAGCTTACTCGTAGTCACTAAGTCGGAACGGTGCATCAAAATGATCCACGTTTCAGTATATTGTTGAACGGCTGTGGCAATGGCGGCGTCGCGTTAAATTTTTCACGTACCTAAGTAATTCCTTTGAGTAAATACCGAATTTTTAATTAAAAAAAAAGAACAATAAACAAATAGTTTAGACGGCAATAGGACGTTGAATGCCATAGTCTTATAGTCGATTGAAACTCGTCAAAGCGCGGCACCAATTCGCTGAAGGCGATACGTCTAAGGCGGCGGCAACGACCAAGAAGCCGACAACGCATACGGCGTAAACGAAGACGGAAAGGCGCAAACGTTTTATTATAGGCGACATTTATATAGATAATTTTTTCTATAGATACTTTTATACTTAGTATGTCGCGCAAATGCTTAAGCCGCTACTCAATCATCTCAGAAGATTTGCCGAAAGCTTCACAGCGCGCTTAAACGGTATCCGGTCGCATTTAGTAGCGAGTGGCATACACTCGATCTGGGCATAGACGTCGTCGCAGGTGACAGCCACGAAGACGCGTACAGTGACGGTGGTACAGCGCACGAATTGGTGAACGTTTGCGGGCAGTGCGAGCATTTCATTCGCGGCGGCTGGATTACTCGTTGAATAGTGCGCGAGTGGAACATCACACAAAGTAGACAATTTTTATCAGCCAGCGAAAAGAAAGTTATGACAGTGAAGAATACTGAAAAATTTTATTTGTTTTGTTTTGAAATCCCTAAATCCAAATCTATGTGAAATCGCATAAAAGTTAAAAGTGTGGAAACGTGTTTTTTTTTTGGCTTTTAGTGGTTTGCTTTCAAGGTGATACACATTTTCTGAGTACACGCGCACTTAACTGGCCGCTTGCAGCGCCGTATATACTATATATAAAGCGAAGGAATAACCGCGTCGCCACAGCAAAGGAGTGTGATCAAATAGCAGCAATATGGAGGACTATTGGGGCCTCAGCAGCACAAATGGTACTTGGGTGTTGAAAATTACTTAGTATAATCCTAAATTGAAAAATTTTTTAGTGTTGAACTTATAGTAGGAGAGCGAGTGACATTTTTTCGCGATCATTTAGTTAAGGCCTATTTTTTTTTAGTATATGTACATATAAAACGTTGAACTGATAGTTGCAAGAAATTGAGCAAAGTATTTTTGCACCTACAGTGGGTCCTTTCATACAAAAATTAACTTTACCACTTCCTGTTTGTGACGGTTGTCATAACTGTATGAAAATAATTACTCTCCGAAAGGAATTTACATGTTCTAGTGCTTAAATACACGAAAAAACTAAAAATGTGAAACTCGAAAGTACATACCTTAGGGCGGGTCAATTTGTTTTGACTGTGCGCGCATAGCATTGGAGGATTCTACCTGTAATTCTAAGCACATTTGCTGAAGAAATCATGGGTCTAAAACCTATTTGGAGTTTGTCAAATTGCGAAAATAGATTTTGAAGAAAAGTTTAAAATTTTTACTCTTGCGCCCTCTACTGGAAGTTTTAAGAAAGAGATACGTTTTTATACAAAATTTAAGCACTTCTTTACGAAACTACATCAAAAAAGCTAAGAAAACGATTTTCGCAATTTGGCAATCTCCAAATTCCTCCTGTGGCGTAAAACTCCCCCGTACAAATTGACCCGCCCTAACATACATACGGTATCGGTCATATTTATAGCTTACCACTTATGTTTATTTTTTAATTTTTAAAAATTTTCAATTAAAATACAGTTTATTCTACAACTACAAAAGAATTCAACAATTTTTCACCCAAATTTCAAACTTTTTTTAGAAGTGTTAGAATTTTTTTTGAGTATACAGTTTTATAGCCCCTTCAATTTTAGTCTGATAATGTGCAAGTTTTAAGTGGCTAAAAATTACCGTTGATTTTTTCTATTTTTTTGTCGTATTTGTTTCCATATAACGAATAAACTAAATTTTTTTCTATATGTAGAAAACCGCAACACCTTCGACGAAGAAAATATATATAAAAAATCAGCGGTCATTTTTAGCCACTTAAAACTTGCACGTTATCAGACTAAAATTGAATGGGCTAAAAAATTGTGTACTCAAAAAAATTCTAGCTCTTCCGAGAAAAAAGTTAGAAGTTTGGGTTAAAATTTGTTGCATTTGTTATAGTTTTTTACAAAGTTTTAAACTTTGGTTAATATGGCGTTTGTAAGAGAATGAATTGTATTTGAATTGAAAATTCTTAAGAATAAAAAAACATAAACATAAGGGGCAAACGATATCACTTTGAAATGGCGTGCTATAGATATGACCGATACTGTGAAAAGAACTGTTACGTGTAACCCGCAACACCAATGGCCATATGAAAATAAATCCTATGATAATACACTACACCAAAACATTAAAGGAGCAAGAAAATTACCAAATTTTCCAGTGATTTTTGACAGGCCGTATTTCGGTAAAAAATTGTCATATTGAGACTTAAAAAAAAAGCATTTTTAGAGCTTACAATTTAATTTTTTCTTGGTTAGAAATTTTTAGGGGCTCAACGTCATTTTACACAGCCGTATTAATATCGCGCGCATATCAAATTTAGACAACGCGGCGTATACGTAACTCCTTTTAGTGCTGTCGAGAGCGGCTTGTATGCGACAAATAGATAGTGAGTGTCGATCCTATCCTCGCGGGTTCGGTTCGTTTAAATGAGCTCTGTTGAACGGCACTCAAATTTTCCATAGCGGAAAAATGCTGACTTATTCCCTTTGGTAATTAACCGATTCAATTATGTATTTAATTCCAAATTTATGGTGCAAAAAAAGAACTAAACTCTGAATACTCCTACTGGGTGTAAAAAATTTTATAGATGGCTTTAATGACATATTTCATTCGAAATAAAACTATAAGTATTACTTACGATAACATATTGTAATTGATTATTTTTAACATAAATATTTATCGATATTTCTATCGAAGTTTTTATTTATCGCTGACTATCGATATACGTTTAAATAATAATTCGGACATACTTATTTTTCGATAGTATAATCGATATATTTATTGAAACTCTAATCAACGTCATTATGTATGTCGTTAAAGTTATCGTTATTGATATATTTATCGATGTGGGTATCGATATATACCTATATATGTATTTATCGATATCCAATTTTTATTCTGATCTGAATTAAAAATTTATCAATTTTTTTATCTTATCATATATCCAAAGGTTTCTCGAAAACGCCTCTAACGATTAACGATTTTGATAAAATTTTGTATACACATAATGTTTTTGTATTATAAGATTACCTATATGGGTATTACCTCCGCGCATACTTGTTAAAGATTGCCACCTCTTCATAATTAGCTAGAAATTAAATAAAACATTAAAATATGGGTATCAACTGGAAGGTATTTTAAAACCCCAGAAATATTTTTGAAACAGGTTGCCATCTATTTTGAATCCCACATTTTCTTATTTTTTTGTTTAGAAACTAAAGATACTATTCATGAATACTAAACGATGGCACTTAAGCAATGATTTGCTTATATACTAATTGTTATCCCTTGGGATATTAGTTAAGGTTGCCATTTATTTTCGATGCTTCAAAATTTAACTAAAACAACGCAATATGAGTATAAAATGAAAGGGATTTTTGAGAAGTTTATTCCGTAATTATTTACGATAAGGGTGGAATGTATTTTTAATATAAAAATATATTTTGTTAATTTCAATAAGCATTTTTTTTTTTTGTGTATATGCACTACATATACGCCCAGTATATGTACTCTTCAACCCAGTGTATTTTCAGATGGGGTTTCCACCTAATTTTTAAAGGAAGAAGGTCAATACGGTATTACTAATATAAATCACTGTAAACAATTTCAGTACCCTACTTCAAATACTTCCAAAGAAAATTACCTTTTTCAATAGGCCATACTTCTCTCTGTGAGTATGTGATTAGTTCCATGTATGAAAATTTCAATATGTATGGGAGGTGCCACGCCCCCCCCTTCTCAAATAATAACAATTTTTCTATGAATGTGAGATTGATTTCATATATCTCTACACCAAGTTCTACTATTCAAGAATAACACTTCCTGAGGTATGCAGTATGAAAAATTCAGTTGGTATGCAAGGTGCTATGCCCCCTTCATGTATCGAAATTAATTTTAGCCTATAACCATGATTGCAGAGACTGCAGTAGGTGTCGGCAATTTCAAAAAAAAAAACCGGCGCAGCCTTTCTCGAGTATTGGAAACAGAAACAAGTAAGAAAGTCTAAGTTCGGGCGGAGCCGAACATTAAATACCCGGCGCAATTATTAAATATATGTTTTCCACCTTTCCGAAAGCTACCGCTACACGATAAGCCGGGGTGTATAAATTTTAAGTAAATTAGCGTCCTTAAATTTCGAAATATTGCAGTTTCAAGCATTTCTGAAATATACCGTTATATGAAAAGCGATCGTAATTTTAGTCCGATTTCAATAATTTTCACCGCTTTGCTTTTATGTGGCAAGCACAATAACCATACCGAGTTTGGTTCAAATTGCTAGAACGGTTAGCGAGATACATATATGTGATCATAAGTGGGCGGTGCCACGCCCATTTTCCAAAATTGTATCATAAGCGTATTTCTTGGTAAAAAATTGTTGCAACCATCAATTTTGAATAAATTAGCTTTAATATTTACTGATTTATCGAGGATTTCGTATTTTTCTAAATTACCGTTATATGGGATGTGGGCGTGGTTATTGTCCGATTTTTAAAATTTTCAGCCATTTGGTATGTTGTAGCAGGACCAACAACTGTCCCAAGTTTGGAAGAAATTGGTGCAGCGGTTACCAAGATATACACATGTAACCATAAGTAGGCGTGGCTACGCCCATTTGCCAAAATTTTTTAATATTCTTATTTTTCGTCTAAAACTCATTGTAAATGTCAATTTTGAGTGAATTATCTTCAGTAGTTACTAAAATATTGCACTTTTCGTATTTCTGAAAATTACCGTTATATGGGAGGTAGGCGTGGTTATTGTCCGATTTCGCCCATTTTCAATACCATCCGTCCTATGCCCAAAATAAGTCCACGTACCAAGTTTCGTTAAGATATCTCAATTTTTACTCGAGTTATCGTGTGCACAGACGGACGGACGGACGGACGGACGGACGGACGGACGGACAGACAGTCACCGCTTAATCGATTTCTCTTTTCATTCTGATCATTTATGTATACATTTGTCTATATCTATCTCGATTCGTTTTGCCTGTTACAAACAACCGTTATGTGAACAAAGTTATAATACCCTTGTGCACAAGTGCGCTCGGGTATAAAAAGGCTAGTAGTATCTGAAAACTTTTATTAAAGTTACAAATTGAAAATTTTAGAATTGAAAACATGAATATAAACTAAAGTGAAATACTACATAAATATATATATGAGATGACAAACGCTACAAAATTGACATAGTGCATGGAAAAATAGGACTCAATTGGGTTAAAATAAAATAAATATTTACGAATACCAAGCGAAATAAAAAAGCTAAACTAAAAATAAGCAGTATTATAGCTAAGTAAAAACGGAATAGAGAACAGATGAAATTAATTTATAAACATTTGTGCAAATTTATCACAGGCGATGATTGTAAATGAATCAAAATAAAATTAAATCAAAATGTGTATTACGCGGCGTATGAGTAACCGAAAAGACAATAGATGCTGGTGTGTTTAAACGAAAACTTTAAAATATACCAAAACAAAAACTAAACAAATGCAATGAAGCGGAACCGCATAGAGAAAACATAGTGATACTCGTAATTAAAGAAAGCGAAACCAAACGATAAATAAAATACTAAAATAAACGAACATGCATGTACGTACATATGTACATTAGAGTGGTCCGAAAAAATTTTTACGAGATAGGCTTTGGGGTACCTTCCAAAATTTTGCCTCTTGCCGAAAGAGGTGCTGGTACCAAACCTTACCTTTCCTAAATATCAATTTAGA